CGAGGTTGTGGCCGACTCAGACCTTGGCCTTTTTGACCGAGTGGATTGGGATGGTTCGGCCTCGGCGGGCCTCTTCTCGGCGGTGAAAGTGGTATTTTCACTCTCAGCCAATTTTGAAATTGGCAAGGTGTCCTCAGTATCAATTTGAGTCACCGTTGCCTTTGGCTAAGCCTTCTTCAGTCTTTTTTGTTTCGACTTTGGTTGAGGCTGAGATGGTACTGGTTGAACGTCAACGGAGGTAGGGATGTCAGCCAAAAGATCTTCTGTAACTGCCTTCTTGCAACCCATCTCGGCAGAGATTGCAGTACGGCGTCGGCGTCTGCGTTGAGATGGGGGGATCAAATATGGAGCCGAGGTTAATGGTTGCTTAGCTAGATTAGAGGTTGATCCCTGATCTGGCTGAGATGATGAAGTTATTGGAGGAGTAGTGGTGGATGGAGGAAACTTGCTCTTCTTCTTCTTCGGAATGTCGGGAAGGACCGACTTATAAGTCGGGATGAAGTTGATCAGTAGGGGGGCTCTCCGCTTGTGAACTGGCAGGTCTAACAACTTTTTCAAGCCTTTACCGGGGAAAAAAGACTTATAGAAATCCTTTGCCAGCTGGGAAAGAGCTGCAAAGAAAACAAACGTTAGAATGTATAAAAAACAAAGTATTGAAGACTTTTAAAACAAGTATCGACACTGGGCTCTTACCATTACCCTTAACGAAAACTGTTCGGCTAAGAGAGTAGAGGTGGAGGTCATCATCTGGAGCGAACTCCCAGTTCCCCGAGACAATGAAGTAATCGTCCCCGACTCCCTTGTTAGAGTCTGGGAGGTCGGCAACAATTTTGTACTCTGTGGACCTCGGCTTAAGGTAGTAAATGTAGCATTTCTTCAACTTGAGGCCACACATGGTGTAGCAGTATTAGATGTATGCTAAAGTTATCCTAGTATTCTCTTGTTTGGCTAAGGCTATTATACCGTTGATAACTCGATAAGAGTTAATGGCGAGCTGCATTGGGTTCAATTTATAGTAATGAAGGATTTCTCGGAAGAGGATGTCGAGTGGGAACCTAAGTCTGTACCCTGTGAAAGCTACAACAGGGAAGGGCATGGAGTCATCTGTGGGCATAATAGAGTCATCCTCTCCTGCCAACCTGAGATGAACATCGGCAAGAATGGAAAACTCCTGCCTGAAATATTCCAACTTGGTCGGGGTGTCTACCATATGCTTCCACATACCCATGACGTCGGCTTGATTAAAGGTGTTGGATTTCAAAAAGAAGTGTTTTGAAAGGGTTTGGGGGACCTCAGCTAAAACCTAAAATTGTACTGTGATAAGAGTTTGTATGGATCTATAGGGAGTTTGTATCAGTTCTTCCTAAGGTTCGTAAGTTCTATAGACAAATCCCAAACCTAAGTCTAGTCAAGGAAAGATCGAAGGCAAGAATCTGGAAAAAAACACGACAAACAGAAACAGGAACGTGATTTAGAATCAAGAACAGTGATGAAACATCAAGAACACAGTGATAAAGCCTGTGCATGTGTGTAAGGCCAAGAACAGTGGTAGAAATCAACGAATACGTGAGTAGTGTGTGTATGTTCAAGAATGGATTGGGCGAAAACAGTCATAAAACAAACATGCTCAATACGTGGAAGAAATCAAGACACAAAATTAAACGATCAAAGACATGAGCAAGTACGCAAAGGCAACAAGAACAACAGTAGAGTTCTTTGAAGCAAAAACAAGAAATTTAAAGTAAGAGGAATAGTGGTTTACTAGAGGAATGAAGCCGATGTTGAGTACGCTAGAGTCAGGTCACGGTTACAATCGGAAGAATACAGGGAAAGCTTCACCAGAGGGGAAGAATAAAAGTGGTTGCAGAGCTTGAAGGTTTGAAACAATGGCGGATTTGGGAGAGAGAAGTTAGAGAGTGAGAGAGTTGGGAGCTAGAGAACAATGATGCAAAAAGTGAAGAGACGGAGAGAGAGAATGGATTTTTGATCGAAATGCGGAGAATGGCGGCAAAATACCATCAATGTGCCTAGGACGACATGCCTGTCAGACGGCGCACACATGAGTGATGCGACTTGATGGCGCGTGTCGGGAATGGCTTAGTAGGGGAAAGACGCGTGGCAAAAACGGTTGGAATATTGTGCGTGACAGCTCACACGCGTGATAGAACTCTTGAAGTTCTTGGTTTAAAGAAGCAAAGACTTCGGCTGGGAGGATAATCTCGGCTGAGAAACTTGAACAACCCTGGTTAATGGTTCTAAGGCATTGATGGAAGCAGACTATAGGTCTTGGTCATACTGAGAAATAATTTCTTTTTTTATATATCAAAATATATAAATATAAATGTGGGAACATAATTTTTGAATGACAACATGTGGCCGAGGTGTCACCGAAGTGCCAGCTGAGGTGCCACGTGTCCTGATCATGACGCCGAGATTATCTCGGCTAGGCCGAGGTTATCTGTGAAGATACCGGAATCCGGGATAAGGGACAAGAGTCCTAGAATGAGAGAGGACTTCAGCTTGGGTAAAGATAAGACTCTTAGAGAGTTTATCCCAATCCTACTGGGAGTCCAAGATTAGCAGTAATCCTAAATCCATTGAAGCTAGGCTTCTATTGGGATTAGGTTTGTGTTGACTATAAAAGAGAGGCATCCTCATGGGTCTAAGGTACGCTTTTTGTATTCTGAATAGTGAGTTACGCACTTTTACTATCTTTGAGAGATAACTGAGTAGATCGTCGGAGTGCCCCCGGGTGGACGAACCACCGTCGGAATCTCTTCTTTTCTGTGACAGGTCATTCAGGCGTCATCTACTTTGCCAGTGCTCTCCAGTTGAGTACTAATTTGACAGTGTGGTCAGAAATCTACTCACACAATTACCTATAATAGCACAGTCGCAAATAGTGATAAGCATATTAACAATTTCTTTTTTATAACGTGACTAACAATTAACACTTATCTGATAAAATTTCACAGTTTCTACTAAACTTTTGAATAATTCTATACATACTAAAAATATAAGAGGTTAAAGTGATTGGTTGTCAAAAAAAAATAAGTATTCGATGATATTTAAAAATGTATATTTTATTAGTAAGATTGTTAATAGTAAGAATTTAAGTAGATGTAGCATTATACTTTGACTTTAAAAGGATTTAGCTTATATCTTTTATGATATTTGACATCACAATCATGGCCTTGTAAATAAGACTGTTAAATAAACCAAGTCAAACATATTTTAAAAAGTCATAAAATTTCAAACCAAACTTAAATAATGTATTACTCAGCTTGACTCAATTATATGCATTACAAAAAAAAAAAATTAAGGCTCTATTTGGTAGAACTTTGAAATCCTAGTTCCACCCCTTAGTTTGAGTGTAATGTCTGGTTAGCGCTTTCAAAAATTGATTTCATATCCACTTTTCAAAACACGTCTATCCGATTATTCCTTAGACGTCCAACTGGTTGACTAAAACAATGTTCAGTTTTTTGTTTTTTGCACTTGTTATTTTATATTTTAAATAAAAAATATTTTCAGAATTTTTTTAAAATTTTTTATGAGCATTGAATAGAATTTTGGATTGTGTATTTGATTATGAGTTGTAAGTTTTTTAATCAAATATCATATGTTATATCATTCATTTCAAACTCAATTCAAAACTATTTTCAAAATTTATGAAACAAATTTTTCACAATCAAATCATAATTTCAAAACTCACAAACTCAAAATACAACTCTATTTTCAAATCATAATTTTAAAATTCTACCAAACGCTACCTAAATTGCTCAAGCTCAGTTATATTGAAACTCATTTGAGATTGACTCGAAAAGTAAACAAATTAAATAAAATTTAAATACATTTTAGAACTCATTAAATTTTTAATCCAATTTTAAATAACTTATTACTTGGCTAGACTGTCCATGGATCCGTCCTTCGAAGGTTCATAAGAAGCAACGCTCGACACTAACATAGACGATAGAATAATTGTTAACTCTACACTTCACTTGACCTCTTACATATAAAAGGAAAATAATAATCATACATAATCTTCATAAAAATAATATGACAATATCAACTTTGCAATTATGAACTAAAGTAGTAAAATGAATGAACTTTGTACATAAATTTTATTTATATAGCATTATCCTCAGAACAATAAGTACCGCATCAACATATCTCTCTTGATAACCATACGTTATGACGCACTTAAAATATTCAGTTCTTCTATTCATGTGAAGTTTTGGAAGAATCATTGGGGATTGAGTGTGATGATGTTTGGATTTGCATTGTCCGATTTGATCAGATGAACTTATAAGAGAGTATGAGAATCTTGGATGAGCATCAGTATGGTGCTGGCTAGATGAGCATCATTATGATGCTGGCTAGAGATCCTCCGATATCTAGTTAATAAAATAAAATAAAAATTTTAGGAGTTTTGTATCTTATTTATCTTGTGTTCTTCTCTTTTGATTTTTTACAGAAAGTTTCACTTATGACTCCTTAGTAATAGGGGAATTCACATCTACTAGGCCGATTAATCCATAAAATTGAATGTTAATTGTGTAGGATGATTCTATTATATACACTTTATACCGTATACTATTAGTTACGTCATTTTATTCTTTAGTTATGATTAAATTTTTTTTTTAATTATGACATTATTGTAAAATATTTAATTATGATATTTTGTTTTTGATTAGTTATAACTCAAAAAGTATATAATTATACAATTTTTTTATAATTATAATACCATAATCTTTTCCTAATTGTGTATACATAAGAGTGCATTAAAGAATTCAATAAAGAAAAAAAAATCTGATATTTTTCTGACAGAATCAAAATTTATATTGGTTGGATCAAAAAAATCTTTTGGTGTGTGAGGGAGCTTTTGGGTTGGTGGAAATCTCTCTTTTCTCCTTGGTAGTTGGCACAAAAATGTCGCTGAACATTTGCTTCTCTATCCTCTCCTCGCCTCTTTTATGTCAGTTCTCTTTCTCTCTCTTCTCCATTATATATAAGCCCTCCTTTGGCTATATTATATCATACATTGCATTCTCAGCTCTCACTTAAGTCTGCAGCAGCTCTCTCACTCTCTCTCTTTCTCTCAAGGAGCTTTTAGATATTCTTTGCATCTCTCACCTTGCTTTTTAGTCACATTAATTCTGCAATAATGGAGAGAAGCCAAATGCATCGACAGCTTGCCAACATGAGGAAAGCTCTTTTTGATCAGGTTCTTATCCTCTTCTTCTTTACATTAGAGATATTGTTACCGCCTTTAGCAAGGCATTTTTTTAAATAAAAAATAAAAATTACCTCCAAAGGCAGGCCTGGACCCACCATTTTAGCATAAACCCGAATACATAATTCTCGTTTAGGAACAGATTTTTTTAGTAATTTTTTAATTTTTTGACTCAAATGTAATATAAAAAAAATTAGTTTGTTTGGAATGATTTTTTGATCTTTTACGAAAAGATATGTAAAAAATAGAGAAAAAAAAAATTTTGACTTTTTTTATATGAATTGTTAACTTTTTAATTTTTTTAGTAATTTTTTGACCGTTTGCCAAATGAGGCCTTATAATCACTTACAAATTGCATACATCAGTTCTATATTAGTTAAAGAGTTAAAATCACGCTTAAATATATAAAGACTCGCTACATACATTGGTAAAGTCTATGAAATTTTAAATCCAAGACTTCTGAGTTTACGACTCGCTCTACAGTTTATACCATAATCACTGGGCTACTTGTGTGGCTACTATAGTTTTCTCGTATTTCTTGAAGCCTTGCATGCATTAATACATCCATGAGAGTCCTACCATTGCTTTTGGGTTCTCAACTTAAATTTTTAATAACACTGAAGGCATTAAACTGTTTGAAAGTAGATAATTTCTTTATTCTTAAACTGTTCTTTTGTGAGAGACACTGAAAACTGAGTATTGGAGGGTGGTGCAGGGATTTCTTGACGAACAATTTGTTCAGCTAGAGGAATTACAGGATGATGCTAACCCTAATTTCGTCGAGGAAATTGTTACATTGTACTATAGGGATTCATCGCGATCAATTCTGAATATAGAGCAAGCATTGTGAGTGAATTCACTTTGTTAATAATGTCAATGTATTTCTGGTTGCACAATCGTTACTTGAGATTCGAGATTCTTATGCTTTGAGATTTACATCACATCACGCAGTTGATTGAGACAGTTGATTGAGAGTGCATTAAAAATAAGATAACAAGAATTTTGGAGACAAAAGATTTTGGCTAGTGATTATTGAATTTTTGTTTGTTTATTTATTTGGGATTTATTGCAGGGAGAGGAGCCCTCAAGACTTCACTAAGTTGGACAGCTATATGCACCAGTTCAAGGGAAGTAGTTCGAGGTAATAAATAAATGGGGAAATTATCAGTGGCAATTTTAAAAAGTTATTACAGATTTATAGAAAAGTTTATAATTTTAATTATTATTATTTATTTCTAAAACACACACTATATACTGAAATTTCTCTTAAATAAATAAATGGTAAACATTAAAAATTAAAAATTAAAATTCAATCAAATATCATCACCACCAAGTATATTCTGTTTTGGCTTTAACATAACATCTCTCTCTCTCTCTCTCATGAGTACAGCATTGGAGCCAAAAAGGTGAAACATGAATGTACACAGTTTAGGGAGTACTGCAAGGAAGGAAATGGAGAAGGGTAAACTCATCCTCCACTTTTGTTTCTTATCATGACACAGTCTGATTCAAATACAAGTCTTGAATTCGAACAATTCACATTTATTTTTGGAGAAATTACGAATCAATGGTCGTTTTAAAAACTTATTATGGATTCATGATAAAATTTATGTTTTTAATTATCAATATTTATAAAGTTTACAACTTATTTGTAATTACTTTTCAAAATTACTCCCGAAATGAAATCTCCTCTTTTATTTTTTTCTGAATAAAATTTGTTTTTCCTTCTTTCTTATTAGTATCTAGACTTGGAGGTGTAAAATTAAAGCTATATCAAGGGTTGGGATGTCCATTTCACTTGTATATATTTTGCCCACTTGGCTTCAGTAGTTGTGGAAGAAAATGCATGCATGCACATAAATGTCAATTATTACTAGGAATCTTCTTTTTTTAAAGCTTGATTTGGATTTATTCTTAAATGGGGTTTGCATTCATGCATGAACACAAAGCAGATGCAAGAGGACTTTCCAACAACTCCAGAAAGAATATTCAACCCTCAAAAAGAAGCTTGAAGCTTATTTTCAGGTCTTTTTATCAATCTCCCTTACTCTAAATTGGCAATTGATATATACTAACTTAAACAATTTTGGTTCTGTATGTGTATGTATATAACAGTTCCATTATAAATACAGAAATAAATCACAAAATCATACATAGATAATATTTTATACGATTAGTGGGGTCTATTTCTAAAAAAAAATTATCCGTCTATAAGCATTTCATGTCTAATTTTTTAATCGATTTATGTGTTTATAAACTTATTCTATATTTAATTATCAGTTATATTAAATGTTACATATTTTATTTTTGTGTAGTTGGCAAGACAAATTGGACCTATTGAGACTGCGACTCGCCCCAAGTAAGGACTTAATCGAAAGTGAATTGGAAAGCCATGACTGGTGAATTTCATAGAATATGAATGTGGAAATCTACACTTCCACCCTAATAGAAAATAATGTAAGGTTGTAGTAGCTAGGGTTTTTGGTGTTGGACCATGCCTGTAAGCTCAGCATATTTTGATCAATGAATCAGAAATTTGCTTTTGATCCAAGATACTTGTTATGGTTCCTTTTGTGTGGTGTCTGTGTGTGTGTGTGTGAGAGAGAGAGCGCGCCGGGAATTATTGAATTGGCATGATTTAAAATAAAATTAAAAAATGGCTACACTTGATCCTTGTTTAAAACAAGAATTTTGAACATATATATACTTTGTATGTAGTGGAATTTTTCAATTTTTGTTTTTTTTTTTAAAAAAAAAGGGAGAATATCAAAAAAAAAATTTGAGTGTAGGAAAAATAGTTACAAAGTAATGGATGTACAAGTGAATCCTGCATTGGATTGTGCAAATAAAACTTTTACCTTCATCACTCTGCAATTATATTTTTTACTCATTATTTTTTTTTTTTTAAATTCCCAAAAAAATTAGCCGATGAAAATTTTAAAAAACCTATTAAAGATGAGAAATCTTATTTAAATGAAAATAAAAATGCTGTTTAAGTGGCTCTCTTTTGTGTTTAGTGGAATTTTTAAATTTTAATTATTTCTAAAAATTCTATGGATCTTTAGACTAAAAAAGCCCCAAAAAATTTAAAAATCAATTAAATTTTGAAAAGTCTACTCTATCGAAGAAAAACCTTGTTTGGTTTGAGTTTTTTGAATTAAGTTTTTTGAAAATTAAATTTTTTGATTTTCGTATTTTTTGTTTTTAGTGAATATTTTTTAAATTTTAAACATTTTTTTTTACTTTTTAGATGCACCTTACTTAGATGTATCTAAAAAGTAAAAAATTTGTGAAAAAATATTTTAAAAAATTAATAAATACATAAAAATATAAAACATGTACTGAATTCTCGTATTTTTTTGTATTTTGGGAATTTAGTGAATTTTTAAAAGGTTTTCTTCACAAATTTTTTACTTTTTAGATACATCTAAGTTAGGTATGTCTAAAAATTTTTAAAAATTGCTTAAAATATTAAAAAAAATCAGTAAAAACAAAAAAATATGAAAAATAAGAAAGTAAAATTTTTTGAAAAATATTTTTTGAAAAGTGAAACCATGCCTTATTTCTTTTTTAAAACTGTTATACCAAACTGAGCAGAAGGCGATATGTGACCTAGCATTGGCAGGCAAAGAGACACGGAGAGATTTGGCCCAATAATGTTCAACATCTTGATTCTATAACATTTCTATTTGCTAAAAGAAAATTGCGGAAAAAAAAAAATTTATTAGTGAAAATTTTGTTTTTATTTTTATTTTTGTAGGTTTCTTAAAGCTTTCTAAACAGACTTTTACTTATTAGATTTTTTGGTTTAAAAAAAATTATCTTTTCCCAAATAAGGATTACAAAAGAGCCCTGCTAAATACCCCCAGTGGGGGTCGCACCCCCAGTGAGGTGGCGCGCCCCCACTGGTTGACAACCAAAAAAAAAAGTAGTTTTTTTTCGCCCAATCACGGGCCTCCACCTCACTGGGGGTATAAAGCATTTTTGATAGACGTGCACCCTATGAAAACGAGATTATTTTATCACTGTCCAATTGATTTGAGATTTCTCTAAATTATTTTCTGTGAGGTTTCATTTGTTTTGACGTAAAATATTTTACACTCGAAAATATTTTTTATGTAATTTGATTTTGAAAAAAAATATATTTGTTTTTTTATTTTTTGGTATTTAATTGACACTTTAAAACAAAAACTTTCTACTATATGTGTTCAGTAGAAGCCAAAGCCACCATTTTATCATTGAAAAGATCAATACGTTGAAAGGGCCAAGCTAAAGTGAACTTCCCAAAAATCAATTATGGAACTATGATAAAAAAATATATTTTTTTTTCTTACTTTTTATTTAATAAAATAATAAAAAATATTTTATTTCGAAACGAGTTTGAATGATTTTGTGTCTAGACAATTATTTTGACAAGAATGGCTTAGGCCACGTTCAAATCAAGATGAGATATGGGCTGGGCTATTTGTGATTATTTTAAGATGTAAGCCTGCTATATAGTCATCTGGCTCATCCAGGTGTGCCAAATCCTTACATTGGGCTGGAGATTCACCCTAGTCTAAACCAGAACCAAGTTAAGGTTGTACTAGTAAGCCCATCATTGACCCTAACCAATAACCATTGGAAGCCCTTTATATCAAAAAATGCGGGCGACCCTCAGTAATGGGCGACCCCCAGTGACCCTCAGCCCACGTGGCTGTGGGTGATTGGCAGGAAAGAAAAAAAAAAAAGAAAACTGGCGAATGGCGCTGCGCCACGTCACTGGGGGTGTGTAGCATTGTTGCCCATTATATATACTTACGCCTCGTTTGAGAATAGATTATTTTAGTAATTTTTTGACTTTTCACGAAAAGATGTGCAGAAAAATAAAGAAAATGATGTGATGACTTATAGTGACTTTTTGATTTTTTGACTAAAATTAAAAGTTGCCAAACGAGGCCTTAGTGCCCTATTTTGTTGAATTGGAAAGAGATTAAATGAAATGAAATGGAATGGAATAATTATTCATTTATAATGGTGAATAATGGTTTCATTTATAATATATTTTTTATTATTTTTTTAGTCAACTAAACATGGGAATGAAAATTTTGTTGGAATAATTATTTAATTTTAGTGATCCAAACACTACCTAGTGTAAGAGGATCCAAACATTCATGATAATTTATCAACATAATAAAACTAGATAGGAGAAATTTCATTTATTTTCCTTTACTAATTTATAACGTGAAAATAACTATTGATGCTAATGAGAAGAAATTATGAATATTTTTTAGTATTTGAAGGGAGAAATTTGTCATAATCATAAAATTTCTAAGTTCCAAGATTTTGATTTTTGTATTGTTTTTTTTTAGTTGTGAAAATTTTCAATTTTTTATAAAACTATTCTATAAAGTTTTCTTATTCATTATTTTTACAACATTTTTAGTTGTATTTATCGTTCATCCCTATACCAAAATTAACTAACTATAACAGTTCAGTTAAAGAAAGTTAGAAAAATAGCTCTCACAATACAAAATTTCTATCCATAATGAGAATTGAAAGTCCTAATTCCAATTTTTTTAAGAGTTCCATCATTTTTAATCTCGTGAAAATATAATTACTAGTTTCATAGTTGACATACTATCGAGTTTTATCAATTTTAGTCTAAGCTTCTTTTATTAAATTTGTATATGTACAGAAAATATGTATATATATTTAATTTGGGTCTCGAGTATGGGATTTTTGGCCCATTGGACCGGGTATAATCAGCCCATCCACGGGCCCACGTTAGAACAAAGCTTGAATGACCGGGTCAGGCTCAGGCTCAGGCTCAGGCTCAGGCTAGCCCATGAACCATGGACTTTTTGATGAGAAATAGGTGCTTGATTTGTTATAAAAAGCTAAGATTGCTTTTAACTTACCATACACATGTGAATTTCACGGTCTGAAAAAAAATCCTTACACGATATTTCCTATTTTTTAAGTAGAATAGGGAGGTTTGAGACTTATAATTTAAGTCTCACAATTTTATCATAATGGCATAGAGCTTATGTGTTCAGCCTCTTTGTTAGAGGTGCAAACTTGCGCAAGTTAAATTTGGGTAATCCAATTTCAACCTGAATTTCTTTAAGGATAAACCAATATATTTTTTTTAATTTGGTTAGCATTTTGCCTTAAATTCATAAATCTAAATTAAATTCGAGTAGGTTTCGACAGAGATATCAAAAAACCTATACAATTCAAAGCCCCAGTTATATATATAAACATATAAAAATTTTAAATATAAATTATCATGTGCAACCGTCAATTTTTTTTTAATAGAAAATTTAAGTTTTACCAACTGTAACTTTTAATACTTTTTTTTTCCTTATTTGGTTTTAGCAAGTCAGTTTTTAGCTATTTGAGTCAAAAAATATTTTTGCTTTTGATTTTAATTTGTTTAATTGACAAATGAGAAAAAAAAAGGGAAAATTGGTCTAGGGTCCCTCTCCCACTTTTCATAATGGAAGAGATCCACAAAATTATTTTTTGATGTCTAAGGTCCCTCTCATTTATCACAGAGAAATTCTGCCCCTTCCCTTTGTCTACTCTCACGCACACACACAGACATGTACATATATACATACATACAGAGATAGAGCAGAACCAGGTGTAGCCGACGGTGAAGAGGACGTAGCGAGGCACATATGGTCCAGCGAAGTACCACAGCGTCAATACCACCATGTCCAATGTTAAAGGTAGCGAGATCAGATGGAACACCCACATCTCTCTCTCTCTCTCTCTCTACTCCCTTCTGTCCCTCCTTTTCTCTCTCTCTTTCTCTAGAAATCAAGTTTCTGTCTCGATTTCAGGTGGGTGGTTTTGTTGGGCAAGAAGAAGATTGGAAAGGGAATCAATGTGAAAGGGTTACCAGATCCCGTCAAACGGAGCTCCGATTGATGCTTTGAATCTGAAAATTTTAGCTATTTAAGTCAAAAAATATTTTTGCTTTTGATTTTAATTTGTTTAATTGACAAATGAGAAGAAAAAAAATCAACAAGATTTATCATGATTGGCAAGTGCAAAAAAAACATATGTTCTTAATAGGACCATTCCCATGTGAGAAATGAATTTCGAGTTTGAGTTAAACCATTGCAAATTTATTAATTAGTTATAAGGGGAAATTGTAATGAATATTTATTGACAATAATTTAAAAAGTATTGAAAATGAGAGATAAAAGTTTGTGAGGTGAAATTTTAATTTATATTTGTTATTGTCGATAAATAATTTTTTTCAATTTCATAATTTTGGTTTAAATTTGGAGGAGATATCTTAATGGGGAAAGATTAAGTGATAATTAATGAAAATTACTAATATATTTTAACAATATTTCGCAATTATATAAATATAAATAAATATAGAAATGTGATTTAATTTTCTTATACGGGTCAAGAATTAACAGATTTTAATATATTAATTAAACAATTAATAATTATATTTATAGTAAAAGAACTAATAGTTACATAACATGTGTTTTTCATATTTTATAAATTAAAAAAAAAATCTTAGAAAATAGAGTTTTTAGAGCTTAA